TGAGTCAAGGAGTTCGAGACCAGCCTGGGCAGCATGGCAAAACCCTGTCTCAAAATATTTAATTAATTTAATTTAATTTTAAAAAACCAGAATAGTAGCACATTCCTATAGTCTCAACTACTTTGTGGGGAGGGTTAAGGTGGAAGATCTCTTAAGATTGGGAGGTTAAGCAGAAACAGCACCACTGAACCCTGGCCTGAGTGACAGAGTGAGATCCAGTCTCGAAGAGAAAAAAAAAGAAAAAGCTGGAGTCTTAGGTACCCTACAAGAATGTTCCTATCCTTAGGGGAATCAAGGGACTGCATGATGCATGTGAACAGCATCCTCCAGGTTTATCACAGAAGGGAGGAAAACAACTAGAAACTTGATAACTACTGATCTAATCAACCAGAATTAAATTTCCACAAAGTTGTATCCAGTATGTAAGACAGATGCTAAAGAACAAATTCTAATCCTTACTGAAAAAACTTAGATAAAAGGTAAGCCATATTTCACGATCAAGAGAAAACTGAATTGTAAGAGCATAATGAGGCACTGGTAAAAATTACACTTCAGGTTTGTGAAGGGGTGAAATTTACTCACTGAGACTTCCTATGAGAGAGGTAGACCTGGAACTGCTTGGGAAGAATAAGCATTACCAGGACCCAAACCTGCACTGAGGCTATTTCAAGCATGTGCATGTGGCTAGGCTAAGTCTGGAAGAAAGAGGGGAAGAGTAAGTCATACAGCAACAAGCACCCCCAAAAAGAGTCCTATAATCTGGGACGGGGTCATGGCTGGGATGAGACAAATTGGCAGGGAGTAAACAATTCAAACGACCAAGCAGTGGTTCAAAGGTCTGGCACGGCATCAGAATCACCTGCGGAGCTTTTAAAAAGCCCTATCTGGACCCCACCCCAGAACAATTAAATCACTCTCTCCAGAGAGGGTAGGCTTAAGTGAATGGCCTGGATACAGGCTATCTTAAAAAGCACCCAGGTGATTCTAAAGTTGACAACCTCTGACCTAAGGCATATTCAGAAAATCAACAAGCCACTGAGATTGCTATCATTTACCACTCCTAATCAACTAGACCTGCATACCTATCAGCACCAAGTCACCTTCATCCTTTCTGAGAGCACAACTAGCTCAGCAACAACAAATCCCAGACTTTCTCTCCCTGAAGCTGATCATATCAGGATGAACCACATTTCAAAACCACAGCTGGGGGTTGGGAGAGAGAAAAAACACAATCATAACCATGTCATAAGATAAGGCAAGATGCTCTTTACACATTTCTGAATATTGAATGCAGTGCCTCCATGCTTGACTCTACAATGCTGACAAAGTGATGTATTTTGAGTGCCATAATTAAAACAATAATCTCAACAAAGTGGACATTATGAGATAATTGGCCATCCTCAGGTATTAAGTAAACTGTGGTAAAAGCCAAGGATACTCATCGCCAAGGTCAATTACAATAATTGCTTATTTGAATTACATTATTGCTACTGTAAACCCTGCCTGATTAAGAAATAAAACAATAAAAATTGATGTAACACATACCACGGGGAAATGACCGAGAAGTTGTTCTTGTTCCACTACTGGTCACTTAAAAATCTGTATCAACTTTGTGAAGCCTCCACTTATATAAGCCTGATGCCTTTAAATATACACACACACTTCCTTGGTTTTGCAGAATGAATCTGGCAAGGAAATATGCCTATCAGAAATTAGAGAAGTGGCTTAGAAGAGCAACATATGGAAACACATGGGAAAATGGAGCAGTGGGTCAAACTAATAATAAAATTAAAGGGTAGAGAAATAAATTACTCTGTGAGTTGCATTCATTTTTCATCAATACATTTCAGGAGAAGTCATCACTGCCTTTTACAGAAACTGAGTCTCTCAGTTATGCTGGTTTATAGCTTGTGGGAAGATATGCTGTCCTCCACAGGCCACTGTCAGCTTGTCTAGATTAATACTCAGGCAGCTCAAGTAACCAGTGGTCAACCAGAAAAGCTCTGAAGATGAGATGGGGGAAAACAGAATTTTTGACCTTCCTTCAGCTAATTGGAATGTATTTGGCAATTGAAGAGTATAAAACTTCTTTTTAAGTTGTGATTAAACATCGAGACTTTGATGTTTTATACGGCATTCTTCCCCACAATTAACTTCATTAGTGCAGTTAATTAGTGGGGAAGAATACCGTATAAAACATCAAAGCCTCAGTGTTTAGTGTCACCATCAGTTCAGCTAAATAGTAATAGAGAAATAATTTCTTACAACACATTTATGCATGCTCAGCACTTCTATTTACAAGTTCAAAGGGTATGATAGAAACATTTTTAAAAATATCCAAAGACGCTATCCATGCTGCAATCCAACGGCACTGACAGCAACAGGACACCATTTTATGTAGTATAATTAAGTGGCCAAGAATGCCACATAAAGCAAAAGAATTGAGACATTTAATCAGTTATGAGGACTGTTATAAATCTATCAATACTATGAAATGAAGGAATGGGGGATACCCAAGGGAAACAGTCACAAGAACTATGTAACCTGAAGGCTAATTCTAATTAGGCATTAGACAGTGGGTTTAGCTTCAATCTTTTGGGGGTAGAGGGGGAGGCCAAGCTATAAAACAAGAACTGCAGATGGCAAGTCCTTATAAGCACTGTTGGACAGCACCAAGTATACTGTGACCCTTCCTTTGGTACACATCGTGCAGAGATGGTGAGACTAGCAAGGTGGGACTTCTCAATGTGAAGCTCACAGCTACTGACTCTACTGAACAAGGAAAGGAAGTTCTCATCTCTAGGTGGGAGGGACCAGAGATGTCATCTAGCCCCTTGCTACTCAAAGTGTGGTCTACTGTCCAGCAGCATCTCCTGAGGGCTTGTTAGAAACGCAGAATCCCAGCCTCACCCCCAGATCTACTGAATCAGAATCTACATTATAACCAACATGTGTGCTTTTCATGCTCATTAAAAAGTTTGAGAAGCACTTGTCTATCTTAACCTCTTCATTCTGTACAGGAGGAAACCTGAATCCTAGGGGATGAAGTAACTCATGCAAAGTCACAAAGGGCTCAAACTTGAAGACAGACCACTGATTTTAAGGACTACCTCTTACAGGAGGCTCAGCAAGTGACATCTGTATATTGTGTAAAGAAACCAGCCTGTACAAAGAGCATCGAGGAAACATCAAGAAAAAAGGGCAAGGAAGGGGCCAAGGAATGACAAGGGGCTTGCTTCATTAGGGCTGACAATTCTGGATCCAAATATATTTGATGTAGGCTGAGAACTCTACCAAACAAGTAAGAAGTGAAAACTTGTAAGTTCTACAAAAATGAAAGAAGAAAAAATAATGTTACAATGTTTTGTTTTGTTTTTTGAAAAGATCAGAAAAGGAAGAGCTCTGAGGCCTCCACTTGAGAGATTTTTTTGAAGGGAGAGACAAAGAAGAAAATTTGGCACCCGTGGGGCCAGCACATATGACCACACAGGATGTAGATGATACAACTCCAGACACACCAGAACACCATAGATTCATGTGAATTGTGCTTCTGCATAACTTGTATGTGGCCATGGCAACACTAACCCAAGCCCACGAACGAATGAGGAGCATGGTGAGCTTGATACATCACCCACGGATGGATCCAAAGGTCAATTAGGATTTGGGGGAAAAGAAGAATGTAGGCTACATAATGCAAACTGAAGCAACACTATCATTACTGTTAATCTATAATTAATGTGTGTCTTCCCAGTGAAATGTGAGCTCCATGTGGGCAGAAATTTCTTCATGGTTTTTACCACTGTATCCCCAGGGCCTAAGTGCAGTGCCTGCACCTGACTAGATGATACCAAATGACAAAATTTTAAAAGCTTTTAGTACGTATGGTTTTGAGAGCTTATTAAATATAGACACTCACTGGATTTAGCATCATACAGCAAGTACTTCACTGACGATGAAACACAACTGACAGATAAACTTCACTCTTGGGAGCCATTATTAGTTTCCTGGGGCTGCCACAACAAACCACCACAAACTAGGTGGCTTAAAGCAACACACATTTATTTCTTGTGGTTCTGGAGCCTGTAAGTCTGAAATGAAGGCACTGGCAGGACCAGGCTCCCTCCAAAGGCTCCAGGGGAAGAATCCTTCTTTGTCTCTTCCAGCTTCTGGTGGTTGCTGGCAATCCTTGGCATTCCTTGGTTTGCGGCAGCACAACTCCAGTCTTTCCTCTTTGCTTTCTGGTGGACTTCCTTTCTGTGCCTCCTCTGTATTGTCAAACCTCTCTCTCCTTATAAAGACATGAGTCACTGGATGCAGGGCCAACTTTATTCCCAGATGACCTCATTTTAACTTGATGACATCTGCCAAGACCCTATTTCTAAATAAAGGCACATGCACAGGTAGCGGGGATCAGAATTGTATTACATCTTTATGAGACACAATTCACCCCAGAAGAGGAATCAGTATTACAGATGTTTTGATAATGTTTAGAAACTGATTGGCTCAAAGCTTTTAAAAAAAGTTTAAAAAGATAAATGATATGCCTAAATAATGTAACTGATATGTAAACTTTCTAAATTACAGTCATCCTTAGGTTATCCATGGGGGTACGGTTCCAGGGCACTCCTCCCTCTCCCTTGCAGATACCACATCAGAGGGCACACAAGTCCCTGATATAAAATGGTGTACTATCCACATATAACCTAGACACATCCTTTTGTATATTTTAAATCACCTGTAAGTTGCTTACAATAACCATTTATAATGTTATTCATAATACCTAAATCATCTCTCTATATTATTTATAATACAGTGTAAATGCTGTGTAAATAGTTGTTAGTTTCATTATTTTTTACTTGTACGTTTTACTGTATTTTTCCCCCAAATACTTTCCATCTGTGGTTAGCCGACTCTCAGGATGAGGAACCCTGGAATATAGAGGGCCATCTGTACTTGGGAGTCAGTTTCTGAAATCAGCTTCTTCTCTGGTAAAACACCAAATGGCGGATGATGTCGGTGCAGCGTGGGGGGGCGCAGGTCCCGGGATGGGGAACCGCGGTTGGCTTCCGCGGAGGTTTCAGCAGTGGCATCCAGGGCCGGGGTCATGGCCATGGACGCGGCTGGGGCTGGGACCGAGGCCGCGGAGCTCGCGGAGGCAAGGCCGAGGATAAGGAGTGGGTGCCTGTCACCAAGTTGGGCCGCCTGGTCAAGGACATGAACATCAAGTCTCTGGAGAAGATCTATCTCTTCTCTCTGCCCATCAAGGAATCTGAGATCACTGACTTTTTCCTGGGGGCCTCTCTCAAGGATGAGGTTTTGAAGATTATGCCGGTACAGAAGCAGACCCGTGCTGGCCAGCGCACCAGGTTCAAGGCGTTTGTTGCTATCAGGGACTACAGTGGTCACGTCGGTCTGGGTGTTAAGTGCTCCAAGGAGGTGGCCACTGCCATCCGTGGGGCCATCATTCTGGCCAAGCTCTCAATTGTCATCATGTGCAGAGGCTACTTGGGGGAACAAGATCGGCAAGCCCCACACCGTCCCTTGCAAGGTGACAGGCCGCTGTGGCTCTGTGCTGGGGCGCCTCAACCCCATGCCCAGGGGCACTGGCATTGTCTCAGCACCTGTGCCCAAGAAGCTGCTCATGATGGCTGGTATCGATGACTGCTACACCTCAGCCAGGGGCTGCAATGCCACCTTGGGCAACTTCACCAAGGCCACCTTTGATGCCATCTCTAAGACTTACAGCTACCTGACCCCCCACCTCTGGAAGGAGACTGTATTCACCAAGTCTCCCTATCAGGAATTCACTGACCACCTCGTCAAGAACCACACCAGAGTCTCCATGCAGAGGACCCAAGCTCCAGCTGTGGCTACAACACAGGATTTTTATACAAGAAAATTAAAGTGAATTAACACTGCAAAAAAAAAAAAAAAAATTCTGAAATCAGTAATGTCTCAATTATGAAGTTACTTCTGACTTGAAAATACTTTTTGGGTACGAATAAGCAAACTCGAGACATTTGTAATTCAAGCCAATGTACCTAAAAAACAAAAATCATGCTCTCTTACATACTAATATTCTGCCAAGTAGGTAAGTGTGATAAGTAATGTTCAGACATATGACCTTCTGTGCAATCCAAATGAATTATCTTTAGATATTTTGTGATGACTGTTCTTGTGATTTAATCACTTCATAATAAAATCCATGTTTCATTTTGCTTTGTTTTAGCAAAGGCTTGAACAATCCCCCTACAGTAGCATTCTGGCAAATACTCTTAAATTACATAATTCACCAGGTTCAACTCTGTTGCTACAATCACTTTCAAAGAAGATGGTTATAATACATTATCATTACAGCTATACAATCCAAGCTGAATTTTCCTTGGCTGAATTCCTAACATTTTAATGCTGAAATTGATCTGTTTTAAAAACATCATGTGAAGGGTTTTTAAATACCATACATGCCCAAGCTCTTTATTTTAAATGCTTTAGAAATGAGCTTGCATAAACAGAAAAAAAAAAAATCTGTTCTCTAATCTAGCATTAAGCATATTTTAAAGAACAACAGGCATGTTTCCAAACAAACTACTGCAGTATACAAATTACCCAGCAGGAATGAGGATAACAATGCTTCTTAAATGGGCTTAGAACCCAGAGAAAGCTGACATTTCATCAAAGTTGTCTTGGAAACAATACTCTTTGTATTATTTCAAACACAAGAGGTATGTATTTGGGCGTGGGCTATTTCTTGTGAAGCAGTCAGATGGTAAGGCTGCCAAGGTTCTAGTGCAGTGATGAGAAATGAGAAAGGAAGCACTGAAATTACACAAGCCGTTCATATGCACACGGGCCTAACCGTGACACACATGCCAGGCTCCAAGCCAATTCCCACTTGAGCAGACTTTCCTTTACCTCTAAAACTACTGCGTTAGACTGACTCCAATAGTGGCTGCAATTTTTCACACCTCCCTATAGCCACATTTGGTAGGGCTCTGTCACACTAATTAGACTCAGCCATGACTTGCTTTGGCCAGTGGCAGACCACCCACCTGACTGTAGCCATATAAGCAAATTCAAGCCTGGCTAGAGAGAACAGCTTCTGCCACAGCCAACACAGAGGCTAATGAAATGCAACAAATGCTTTCCATTTCTTACCAGTATGCTTTGGAACACATGATGCAAAGAGAGGCTCCTAGACTCTGCACTAGTGTCAAAAGAACAAGTCTTGGCCAGCCTGCTAGAGGGATACCATAGATACATAAGGGAGAGCCAAGTCAGTTGAGCTAAAGACTTTCTAGACCAGCAGTCCTCGATCTTTTTGGCATCAGGGACTGGTTTTGTGGGAGGCAGTTTTTCCATGGATTGGGGGTGGTGGTGGTGGTAGTGGTTTTGGGATGAAACTTTTCCACTTCAGATCATCAAGCAACAGTCAGATTCTCATAAAGAGTGTACAACCTAGATCCCTGGCATGCACAGTTGACAAAAGGGTTTGCACACCTATGAGAATCTAATGCCACTGCTGATGTGACAGGAGGTGGTGCTCAGGCAGTAATGCCCACTCACCCGCCACTCACCTCCTGCTGTGCAGCCTGGTTTCCAACAGGCCACAGCCCAGTACCAGTCTGTGGCCTGGGGTTTGGAGATCCCTGTTCTAGACCTCCCAGCTGACTGTAGCCACATAAGCAAATTCAAACCCGGCTAGAGAGAACAGCTTCCGCTGCAGCCGACACAGAGACTGAGATGTAACAGATGCTTTCTATTTCTTACTAGTATGTTTTGGGAAAAGTTCTTAGATAGTAATTGCTAACCAATATAACCACTTAATTGAGGATGTGCATTATAGGAATAAATACTCCTTCCCATTTTTAAGACATCCATATTAGGAGTAGATGAAAAAAATATAAATTAACAAGCAACCTCATTCCTTTTTTGGTTCTCGCCTTTCGATGGAATATGGTTTTTGATATCTTAAGAAATGAGTCAGTTTATGTATAAATGGTAAGCTGTCATAACAAGTTCATTACAGCTTCACCAACACCATGTCCACATGTATCATCATTGTATATGCCCTCCACAGTACTTTATTTGGATAGTATTATTACTACCATGTTAGTGATGAGCAAACAGAACTCTTTTGAGAGTAGGTGACTGCTTAAAGTCACAAAGCTAGAAAGGAGTGAAGTTACTATTAGAATATAGTATTTCTGATTCTAGGTCTGAACTGATTTTTACTAATATCCTAATACAAACATATGGAGAATATTTCAAGATCAGTGAGATTACCCACACTTTATCAGTTCATGGATTAAAAGGCAAGATATAAAAAGCTATGTGCAGATGTAACTTACATAATTTAGAAAAAAATAGAATGGCTCACAGTATGATTCCTAAATTATACTGATATTCCAGAATTACACAATTTAAACATAATCAACAATGATCAAGGTACCAGAGTAATGGTGCCTTCATAATATTAGCACAGGTACCACACAAACTCTGTAATAGGTTCTCTCTCTATTTGAATATCAAAGTAAGTTTCAACTTCATGTTCACACTCAACTTAATTCTACCTAAGAGTTTCTTCCTGTGTACATTTCAAAAAGGGGATGTACACCATCTTTCAGAATTCTCATTTCATGCAAAAAAAGTAACTATAAGCCTTATAAGAATGACCACAGAGTCAGCTGACTCTTGAAGACAAAGTAGAATAGGAATGGAGAAGGAAAGAATCCACCTTAAAGATAAGGAGCAGTAAGGCCGGGAGTGAAACTGACGGCCTATATCAAAGGTTGACACATTTTTTTCTGTAAAGGGCTTGACAACAATCAATATAGGCTGCAACCCACATAAGGTCTTGTTATATATTTTTTTGTTTACTTGTTTATGCCTTGTCAAAAAAGTAAAAACCATTCTTCCCTCACAGGCCACACAAAAACAAACTGGGAAATAGATTTGGCCTGTGGGCCATAGTTTACTCATCCCTTTGTCTATGCAGGAGTAAGAGAATGTGGTGTATTTCTACATTTTTTTTTATAATCTGAAGACTGTCACCACAATAATCATAACAAGTTTCTGGCATTCTCTCCTTAGGATGCTTCTCAATAGGTCCCGGAAGGCGAGATAAAGGCTGTGGGCACAGTGTGATCTGCAGCCCTAACAAAGAGTCATTTTACTACCCTGAGATGCTTGAGCACTTTGATTCTCATGATTTTAAATGCAGGGGAAAGGTCCTAAGTTGTCACTTGACAACTTCAGTTATCAGGCAACAGAGTTTCATGGCTTAATTTATGCATAGGACACTGGACAGGAAATTGCTGGCTGACTGGTTTGGAACAGCTGCCTGAACATTCCTCCCTCCCTTCACTGATTTATTCAAGAGTGTAACAAATGGCTACACAACACAGGCCCCTTGCAGGAATGCAGGAAGGCTCAAAGCTGAAAAGGACAAGGTTTTTTACCCTTTTGCCTCTTTTCAATGACAGAGTTAGAGATAAGGTAAGCACACAAGTTCCAAGGTTGGACTTGGAAAAGGCTGTCTGGAAATCCTTGAGAGCCAGATGTGCTTTACAATTCAGTAATTGGGGAATTTCATAAAGGCAGTATGATACATACTGTAATAGGGGGAGGAATAACAGTCCATAATCAAACATTAATATGCTTTTATATCACTTCAGGCCAGGTTCAGTTTTGTTACTGCATGAGATGACAAGAAAAAAACCTTTTGGTTTTTAGAGCTTTCTGGATTTCAGCATAGTGAATAAGAGCCTGTATATTTATTTTCTCTTTTAAAATAAAGTTTTATCTTAAGAAAACCACAAAATAGGATGCTTCCAGATCCAAACTCCAACCAACTGCCAACTGTGCTGAATCTGAGTAGCCTTCTTTATGGCACCAGATCGTAACAATAAAAACAGGTTACCAGTTTTTATTGAGACACCAGTGAGGTAAGTTCAAACTAATCAAGATGGCACTCTTTTGGTAACATCTTCTTATGCTACCCAAGAGTCATTTAAAAAAATCAAATTATATATAACTACATTCTATACCAAATTACACACACACCCTCTTTCTTACTCTCTCTCCCCTTCTTCCTGCTAGGAAGTAGTTAAGAAATCCTTGGAAAATACGTAGCATATTTTTCTTAAAAAGTTATCCTTGGAATCACTGAACAAACCTATATCTATGTGGCTAGAAAAGTCAGTGTATCCTTAGAATAAGGGCTTAGAATGTCCTTAACGTGGACATTAGATCTTCAATTCCTGAGGGGAACATCCTAACACCCAGTCACATGAAAGATGGAGATCCTCCGACTTTCTGGGTATGTATCCTGTCACTCTGTAAGGAAAGAGCCTATATCCAATTGACCTTTGCTTCTGCTACAACACTGAATATGAAGAGTTCTTTGCCATATGAAGCAAGCTCTTTATCAAAATCTAACAAATATATAACAGCTATTTTTAGTTGTACATCTAAACATAAAGAACAAAGTAACATTACTGGGTTGGCTGATGAGTGGTGATCTTTAACCACAGCAGATTAAGGACATTCAAGACTCATTCTAATTCATCAATACATAATTTCTCCCAGAGTGAACCTTATTTTTTGGATGTAATCACAAACTTAAAGAACTCCTAGTCCAAATATTTTGGTGTTAAATACTGAGTATTAATAAAAATACAGGCAAAGGGAGTTGTCCAAGGTCCTGCAGCTAGTAAGAGTGAGGATTAGGAAAGTCTGCATGTGGTTTCCAATTCAAGCTTGCCATGAAAGTCAGCTGATAAATAAGGACACTTACTCAAATACAATGTACATAGATTAATGCCTACAAATTTTTTTCTTTTGGCCTTATAGTATGAGGTTCATCATAAAGTCAGGATTATGATGAAAAAAAAGATACTGATTACTGAACAGGCAGATTCACTGTACATACCTTAAT